AGAGAAGCCCCACAGTGTTGCATCATCTGTAAACTTGTAATTATGAGTGCCACTGAAAATGTTTTTTGTAAGGAGTGGCAGTGGCAGGAGGCTCCGCTCACTCACCTGGGTGCTTCTGTGCATGCGCATAAGCATTGTGCACACGTGAGCACGGGCAAACTGGTAGCACCGGGATTTGAAACCCATCTCTGACTAGGATGATACGGCTTTGCTCCTGATTGAAAACACTGTTGTGAAGAGATGCCAGTATGCATCAATAAGAGCATGTACATATTATCAGTGTCATGAACTCAACAAACACATATGGAACCTGAATGCATTTCTAGCCAGACATTTATCCAAGCCCCGCTATGTAACTTTCTGATAACCAGGAGTATCTTTCTGATTCACTTACTTGCACTGTATTTGCTTTTTGGTTTTCTGGAAATTCTGAGGTTATGGCAATTGAAAACTTCTCCTATGTTAGTGGAGATAGCAGCCAGACTGGGTTTGCTCTGTTCAGTAACCAATTGGACTGGGTCTACAATCTGTGATGTCATCATGCACTGGTGGCTCCTCCCAGTTCTAGACTCAGTCCAACCTGGACAGACGTAAAAATTGATCTTTCCTTGCTAAATTTAGGATTATTCGACAAAGATACCCTTAACTGGCTTTTTTCTAAATCTTCTTACCTTTTAAATTTTTTTTCTCCTCCTCTCCCTCAGATAATGAATAGGTTGAAGTTCTTCTATCATTTATTTGGACTCCATGATGTCAATTCAAATCCAGATAATTCTCTGGGATTATGCTTTTAATCCTGTGATTGCTAGAGGTGTGCTATAATGCACTTTTGTTAAAAACAATCTATCCTACAGCGTTCAGTGTTCAAAATCAGTCTGCTACTATATTATATATTCTGTTTCTCTCACTAAATATATTTGAATTTTTACATGTTAGAATTTATTGAGCTAGGCCATGCCCACTCCGGCCCCCCAAGGTCAAATAGAACCCTGATGCGGCTCTCAATGAAATCGAGTTTGACACCCCTGCCTTGGGCCACTCACTTAGTCTTAGCCCTAGGAAGGAGGCAATGTCAAATCACTTCCAAAATCTTGCCAAGAAAATTGCAGTCTAGTCCATAACTCAAAGGCAACTATAATGATTTAGTCTTTAATATTTAACACATTTATATATTAAATCTCTCTCTATATTGTATAAAATGCATGTGTGTGTGTGTGTGTATATATATTATTTGACACATAAATATTTAATATAAAATATTAACTTTGAATATTACATATAAAATACACAGAATGTCTATATCCCACAGCTAATATTTAAAATTGCTCAAGAGTAGCACTACATTGCATCAGCACACGTGTTGGTAGTACAATAGGTTTTAAAATATTGAACACATTTAGGCTTTCAGAGTACCTTGAATGTAAGCTGTGATAGTTCTGCTGTCAATGTGCTGTGTAGAATGATCTCAATTGAGGAGTAATTGGAAACTTAATCTGTGCTTGTACAGGCAGGTAAAAGTTTAAAGCTTATTATCAGTGCCATGTGCTCTGGATATATTTTATCCTTCTCCTCTCATCCCCACCCCATTTTTTATACAGTTTAGGTTATTTGGAATTAATAGTATTGTCGCATTTTATAAGCAGCTTTTGCTTCTTGCTGAAAACACAAGTGTTAGGTTTGTGAACTGTGTTAATCAAAGTGTACTTAATTTTTGATAGACAAGATTGGTTCAATCAATGCTTCCTTTTGTGTGTTGAATATTATGTTAGGCTACAGTTAATTGTCTTTTGTTTCCCAATATTTTGATTTTTTTCAGGGACAGTACATTTTAGTGAAACCGGATAGTCAGAGATTTCACAGTCACATTATTTATTTCAATTCACCAGTAGATGCCATATTACGGTATGTTAAATAAGAACTGTATATCTTCCAGTAACTTGTTTTATTATCAAATCTATAGATTTAAGTTAATAATCCATATCTGAATATTTGGAAAATGAACACTATGTGCAATACTTCGTTTGACAGATTTGACTGCTGCAAATATTTTGTACTGAGAATAGATGATCCTCTTGGCTCCTCTTGTTTGGAAAAAAGTCACAGCTGGTATATTATAATTTGGACACGTGAGAGTTGTTAACTGTGGGCTGAATCTGAAGTCTTTGTTATAAGAGAGTAGCAGTGTAACATTATATCCTGCTTAGCCTTAATTCAAACTAAGAGATTTAATTAAACATAGAATATGTATACTGTGTGGTTTATGTTCTCTTAGCTTAGGTGGTTATTTCTATTGTAGACAGACATATATACTGAAAAACATTTTGTTCACAGTTCGTTTACTGTCTTTGTATAATTTCTCTAAGATTTGGGCTGCAAATTGGAAAGTCTAAATACAAAATTATATAATAATTAAATTGTAACCATCCATCAAACTGTAAAGTTCAATTATTAATAATTTTAAAAATTGTTATTATTATACAATTGTATCACAGCGGCCAGTTGTTTCGCCGGATTTGGCATTGGTTACTAGTCGGGCCCCACCCAGGGGCCTAGGACGTCGTAACGNGCACCCAAATTTTCACCCTCTTTTAGGATGAGTAAAAGGTGTGTCTTGTACTACCCCTGTGACTTAAATGGCAAAAGATAAAATAATAAAGTTTTATTCTCGTTTTCAGTAAAATAAATTTACGTTTAATGACATATAGTACTTCCTTTTTGAGCCACTTGAAACTTCTGTGTTATCTATGAAAAGACCTCGGACTAATGAACAGGTCTTCATGTAGAATTCATAAGAATTCGTGTTTGAGGCTGCTATTCTGTACTGATTTTAAAGGGCATTTCAAAGAGCATTTCTCATTATATTATTAGGGAGAAAAAGGCAGCATAAGGAGATAGATTTAGAAAGGAAAGAAATTACTTAATTAGAAATATTTAATTAAATAAATCAACTAGGATGACCCATGTTTGTGCTCAAAATATTGTGTAGGTATTAATGATAATTTTATAGTCTTTGGCTTATTGGTTAACCCAAATTTTGGTAAATAGTGAACCAAGCTAACAACTATTAAAAAAGTTAAGTGAAAGACTGTTTCCTGCACAATAGATATCATAAAGATGCAAATATAAATAAACAATATTTACAGGGAGGTTTGGGACACTATACTGCACAGGGAGCCATAGGGATTTTTTGTTCTTATGCAGAATGTGAACTATTGTTTTATGTTAACAATTCTTTTGATGTGTCTCCCATTTAGCTATGACATTAGCTTAGGACAGTGATGGCAAATCTTTTTTCCCTTGGGTGCCAAAAGCGATAGTGCATGTGTGTGTGCCAACACCCATAATCCAATGCCTCAGTGCAGGCTTCACACCCCCTGCACACATGCACGCACTCACCCGCTCACCCCACAACAACCCCTGTGGATGCGCACGTGACCCCTGTTTTGGTGCTAGCAGGCCTCCCTGAAGCCTTCTGGCACTTAAAATGGGGCCTGGATTGCCTCCCTCGCCCCCCATTTTGGTGCTAGGAGGCCTTCTTGAAGCCTCCTGGTACCAAAAACGGGGATGGCTTTGGCTCTCTCCTAATGGGAGAAGTTCAGCACTCAACCTTGACTTGAAGTGAGGAGCTGCTCTGGATCCTCATTCATCAAATGAGTTTGCCTCACTCAGTGGGGTGGGGGAGGGAGGCCAAAAAGAGAGCACACCCCAAGCTACTAAGTTGAAATATTGCAAGCGCTATGAATCACACACTCCCTTTGCTACTTGGGAAAGAAATTGGGAGTTCTCCCTCCCATTTCATTGCAGGAGATGTGGCCAGACAGGTGAGGATAACTCCCTAAAAAGCCCGCTTGCCTCTTTTTTCCCACCCCTGAGTGGGAATCGCTGAGAAAGGGGTCAGGGAGGTGGCAGCACTTGGCTGTGGCATGTTTGCAAGCTGTCTGAAGTTGAGCCGCCTATCTGACAAAGCAGGCCCAGACAAGAGCAAGAAGGAAGGGGGGCTGTTTTCTGGAAAGAGGGGATGGGGACAATGGCCATCGCTCCTTCACGCCTTTCTCCATCTGACCTTTTCCATTTCTGGGTGTGCATGTGCTTCTTAAGGGCCTTTGGATTGAAAAATGACAACAGGCAAGAACTTTTGAGTGCTTTTGGAAATTAAGACGGGTGACGATCAGCTTTTCTCACCCGTTTCCTCTGCCTTAAAGGGCAATGTGGATGTCTACATGTGTGTGGGCTCATGCATGAATGTAGTTACTTGAGCTCGGCAGTAATAGTGCACAGGATACACAACTTTCCAGTAAACAGCCCCCCCTCCTTCTTCCTCTTCTCTGGACCTGCGTCACCAGACAGACGGCGCAACTTTAGGCAGCTTGCAAAT